TCAAGGCCTTTTGGGCTTGGTTTGTAGGTGAAGGGGGAGCACGCATTGCCTGTGTGCAGAGCACAGTGTTTGGAGTGATTGTCCTCTCTGCATCCAAGTGCAGAGAGGCTCCTTGCTCTGACAAGTAAATGAATATCTCTGCAACGAGAAGCTGCAGTGAGTGAGGAGGTGCAGGCTGGGGAGCAGCACATGGACTTCCCAGGGATGCCATTGCCTGAACCCCATTCAGGAGCACAGAGGCACATGCAGGCAGAGCTCAGCCTCCCCAGCCCATTCCAGCTGCTGCCTGAAGTGGCTCAAGGACTTTATTCTAAACCTCAGACCTGTGTCCCTGGGGTGCCTTGAACTCAGGCTCAGGCACCAAATCTCTCTCTTACACTTGTGTCTGGGTTTGAATCCTGCTCTTTTGTCACACACTGTGCTTAGGAACTTAGGACAGAAACATTAATATCGTAAGGGAATGATCAGTCTAAAAGCTTCCATCTCCACAGCAAATGGGTTTCCTCTCCCTGGTCCTGCACCAAAGGGTGGGGGCAAGTGAGCAGGATGTGGTAAAGAATTCAGACAGCAAACAGGGCATCTCACAGGCAGGATTGTGAGAGCAAAAGCAATAGGAGGATGTCAGTGGGAAAAATCTTCTGCATTGCACAGATCTGAGCCAAGGACAAAGCAAGTGTGCAGCCAGAAAGAGCCCCCTCCCCACACCCCGTGTAGAAGCCATCGCTGGGGGCAAATCCCTGGTTTCTTCCTCTCCCTGTCGCGGAGCTCTGGCAGCAGGGCTGGGGTTTAGCAGTTGCCCTTAGGTTTAGGAGCCTGCTGGAGAGAGAGTGAACCTGGAACTGTCAAACAGGGTTTTCCCAAAGAGATGCTATTTGCATTGGAGATACCTTGGGAAAGGAAGAGCAATAGAACACAGTTTCTCTGGGGTGTAAAGACCCCAACGGGCAGCTGCCTTGGGGTGGGTCAAGGAGTGAGCCTGCAGTGAAACAGGCTGGAGCTGCCGCGGTGCTAGTTTAGACAGAGAGAAATGCTTTGCTGACAGCTCTTTCAAAGACTCTGTCCCTTCCTCTGTTCTGTGCTATTCCTTACAGCAGCATACGTTTCTCTGGAGGACTGTGGCAGGAGGGTGCAGTGGGAACACCATTCCCAGCTCTGCCTTTGCTTCAGCCAAAAACGACCTTTTCACTCCTGTTCTGCTATTAGACTTGTTTGCAGGCTTGAGAGTGTTTCTGGTGAGGATTAGAGGGGGACTCTCTGAAATCCTCCTGTTAGAGACATCCCCAGCAGCAGGATGGAAGGGGGTTTGCTCAGTGTGTTGACGTATGTGTGTGCAGGACGGGCTCTACGGCACCGTGGGCAAGCTGGGCTGTGTATATACCTGTGTGCATGTACCTGTGCATATACCTGTGTATATACCTGTGTGTATGTACCTGTGCATATACCTGTGTATGTACCTGTGTATATACTGATCCAGGTGTGCCATGGGACGATGCTGGTGCTGTCTCCTAAACTGGAGATGTGCAGGCCCTCTCTGGGTGGTGGCTCCTCTCCCTTCCTGCTGCATTCTCCCCGTTGCATGAGCAGCAGTAGGTTCATTTAGAAGATCCCACTTAGGAAGAGGCCCATGTGCCTGTGAAGAGGAGGGCAGAGCCCACATCCTGACAGGGCACTCGAGGTCAGTCCATGCCTCCAGTGACATATGTGTTCAGATTACACAGCACAGAGGGGGCAGTGCTGGATTTGGTCTTCTCCAGACCTTGGCACTTTTATGCCTGCTGTTCCCCTGCCAGGTAAAATGTGGTGCTGGTACAGGGCTGAATTGATGCCATCTGTAGCTCCTTGGCACAGGGCAGTGCTTGCAGGGTGTGCTTCTCCTCCAGGGTCTTGGCAGGGTCTCAGTGTGTCCTAACCTGACAGGGTTCCTCCTCCAGCCTTGGTGAACTCAGTCCCTTTGGACTGCTCAGTTCCTTGCTACTCTGCTGAGACCATCCATTAAGAGGACAAACAATGATTTGCTTTCCTGGCAAGGGGGAAACAAGCAGCTATTTATTAAGAAATCCATTTGAATGCTGTAGAGAGGGAAATAATACAAGAACCAAGATGGACCTGAGACCAGCATGCAGTTTTACACGCTGTCTTAATGACCACTGAGCAGAGACTTCAGAGAGAGCAAATGGGAAACGGCTGATCCGTACCCTGTATTCATGTGTCCTTCCCAAGCACTCTGTGACCTTCTCCCAGCTTCTCTGTCAGGAAAAGCCACAAGAAGAGAGACATTTGGGCCTTTACTCAGGCAGCATCCTGCCGCCAGGTGCCTTGCTGCCTTGAACACATTAGAGTGGTTAGGTCATCTCTGCTTTTCAGTTTTAGCTGCTTGGTTCTGCTGGTAGCTGGCAGGGACATTCACTGGGGACAGGTCATTTGTAAGCCATCAGCAGGCCATGGGATATTGAATGTTGCCTTTCCCTCTCGGGCTGGAGCAGATGCTGGCAGCGATGGGACCTGGATCCTTTCCCGTTGCCAGCAGGCACTTGCTGAACACGTCTGTCTCTCAGCCAGATCTTTGTCCTTTCACTTATTTGCTTTGGTTTTTCTCAGTTCTCTGCCAAGGGCAGCCCTGGGGGATGTGAGTGCCTTTATTTACACGTGCCCTTTTCACTACGATGTCGGTATGGTCATGGGGACTCCCAGCTGGGAGCAGGACGAGAAGTGGCGGCATTTAGGGGTGTGTGGTGTATCCAGCATATACACTCACAACACAGGGGGAAAGGGAACACAGCACTTTGAGCCCTGGGCCCTTTCAGGGCTATATTTATATGCTTTATAGTGGTTTTGGGAACAAGAGGTCAGCAGCTTGGCCTAAAACAAGCTCAGCCGTGGCTCTGCCCATGCCTCTTCGCCCTGGCTGGCAGTACCTGAGCTTTCCCTGCACATCCAGCAGTGCCCTACGGTCCTGCCTGTGTCCCCCCCATGCTGAGCCACTCCTGGGCTGTGTCAACCCCTGCTGCTGGAGGAGGCATTTTCTATTTAATAACCACCAGTGACTTCTCGGAGATGTGCCTCTGGACCTGCAGACTTTGCATTGCTGCCTGCTCTTTCTCTCTGGTTTTTGTTGTGCTCCAAGGCAACACAGGAGAGCTTTTGTCTTACAGCTTTGCTATAACCTTGTCAGACAAGTGAGCACTGAAAGGCAGGTTTCCAGGCTGGCCAGTGTCCTCCACAACGACATTCTTGTGCTTGCCGGATGCAGTTCGTACCGTTTGATGGATTTAAAACAAAGAAAGACCCTTTCCCCCTGCACAAGCACTGCAAAAGGAACATCAGCACCTCTGTGGTGTTCCCAAGCAGAGCACGAAGCTCTCCTGGGCATTACCTGCAGAGCTTCAGCCACTGCTTCCTAGAAGGGAAGGCTGGCGCGCAGCTCCGGTAGCTGTGAGGAGGCTGTGTAAAGCAGTCACCATTAGGAGGGACAGGCAGGCTGGCAGCAGCAATTGCAGCTGCAGCGAGGAGAAGGGAAACAGGAGCAATCATTTCAGGAGGTTCCACGTGTTCTGCTTCCCTGGGAGGGAGGCGGCTGCGGGATTCCCTCCCTGGCACAGGCAGGTGAAGCTGCTGCTGAGCCCTGGCTCTGGGAGCTCTGGTTTGCTCTGCTGGGAGCAGAGCACATCTGGTGGAGCTGGCAGCAGGCCCGTGGGAGAGCCTGCGAGGCTTGTGTGCTTGTAAGGGGAAGGGATGGACCTGGCACAGCCAGCGGGAGGTGGTGTTGGGACCGACAGAGGTGTGCGAGTGTCGGGGCACAGCGGTGGTGTGAAGGCAGGAGAAGCAGAGCACCCTTCCCATCAGCACCATCAGAGGGGCACCCCGCAGTGTTCTGAGACCAGGGAAAGAACATGCATGGCCAGGGGCTGTGTGCTGGCAGGAGAGCAGCCAAGTCGGCTTTATGGGAGTAGAAACAGCATAAGCTAACCCTGTGAAGGCTTTTCTCTTGACAGGGCTTCCAGTGGCAGTTTGCTTTCCACGCCTGCTGCTCAGAAGGAAAGTAACGCTGGCTTTTGGGGGGGATGGCCTCCTGAGCCTCTCCTGGCTTGGAGTGATCAGTGGGAAGGCAGAGGGGTTTCCAGGTATTGAGATGCTCTCAGCTGACTTGCTTGGAGGCAGAGCTGCCAAAGAGGCTGGACATCTGGGCTCTACAGGCATCTTTCATCATGCACATTCGCTTCCTTACACTTCTGTTTGAGACACCCAGTCTCAGCTGGCATGGGAGAGAGCAGGGTGGGGACCGTTTACTGCAGAGCCTCATTTACAAAGCAAACCATGGCACAGCTCTCCCATATCATGGGGAGACAGCACAGGGCAGCCCCAGGGGTTCCTCCATGCTGCAGGCCGGGATCATGCCCAGCTCTGTGGAGTGTAGGGCAGGGAGCAGACCTGGTGGGGATCCCCCATGCGCCTGCAGACCCCATCCCTGCAGGCAGAGGATGCTGATGCCGGGAGTGTCAGAGCTCGGGGTGCATGGAGGGGGCTGCGTGGGACATCACTTGGTCTGCAGACAGCTGCAGTCAGCAGGAGGGTGCAGGCTGAGCACAGGAATAGCTCCGTGCAGGCGAGGGCTGCTCTCTGAGGAGGGGTTTCCATCGTGCAGCCCCATCACGTGCGCATGGCTGGAAACACGAGAGCCTTCCAGGCTCCTCTGTGGCCCTCTCCCAACAGCCGGCGCCTGCTGCCAAGGGGATTGACTCCGGGTGCACAGCTCAGGCGCTGATCCCCCAGGACAGGGAAGAAAACTTGTTCAGGGATGAGAAATCAGTGCAAGCTACGAGCTTGGGCCAAAGGGAGCCCCTGAGTGGTGCCTGCTTGGATGCCCCGTGCTCTGTGTGGTGGAGAGCAGCTGAAAGGAACCCCTGGGGAGGCGAAACCAAGAGAGAGCCTCACTCCAGCTAGGAGACCTGAGGAGGAAGCTGCTGAAGGAGACACGTCCTGACTCCATTGGCCTCTAGTCTTCCCCTTCCTCACAAATGTCACCAACTAGGTAATGTCCTTCCTCTGTTCTCTCCAACACTAGCTGGGGTTTGGGGGTTACGGTGCAGAAGCATTGGTTTTTCCCTGCGCTGTAGCTGCTGTGTCTCAAAGGGTAAGTTGTGATCCATGTGAAATCTCGTGTCTGTCACTGGAGCCTGGAAAACAGGAATCTCATTCCAAAACCAGACGGTGGCTGAATAAAACCAAGCAGGGGAGCTGTGAAGAGAGGCTGGTTTAGACCCTCCTGCAGTCACAGGAGATCTGAGTCAGGGCTGTAACCTGGGAACCAAGGCATGAAACTGGGAGCTAGCAGGGAGGATTTGATTTCCTTCCTGAGCTTTGGGGTGTGTGCAGAGAGCACCAGGTACATTTGCTGTGGATTGACAGGAAAGGCTGCTCATGGCAGCTGTGAGGACTTGGAACGGGCAGGAAAGACAAGTGTGTGGATCTGGGGAGCTTGCACGGAGCAGGGTTGTGCCTGTGCCCTGTGTGCAGCTGCCATGGGGGGGGTGTTCCCAGTCACATCACATTTCACTGGGTTTGGGTATTGGCCAATGCCTTGGGTTTAACCAAAGCCAAGCACAGAGCCCAGTGCACCTGATGTTGTGTCATGGGAACATTCCTTCCTGCTCCTGAAACGCTCGAGTTACATCCTAATGCCTCAGGTTCAACTCCTAGTTCAGCTCAGATCTTACTGCTTACAGAGCGCAGGCAGTGCTTGGTTCAGAGCTTTCCTGCAGCTGCTGCACGTTGTGTGGTGAAGTGTTTCCTTTCATTCATTGTGAAGTGACTTGCTTTGAACCCTGCAGTGTGACCTCTGGCTGCAGGATGCGCTTCCCAGGAATGAGTCAAGGGAGGAAGAGCTGTGCTGAGGGGAAAGCGCTGCTTGTGCTCACATCCTAGACACATCCTCCATCCCTCCATCCCTCCATCCCTCCATCCCTCCATCCCTCCATCCCTCCATCCCTCCATCCCTCCATCCCTCCATCCCTCCATCCCTCCATCCCTCCATCCCTCCATCCCTCCATCCCTCCATCCCTCCATCCCTCCATCCCTCCATCCCTCCATCCCTCCATCCCTCCATCCCTCCATCCCTCCATCCCTCCATCCCTCCATCCCTCCATCCCTCCATCCCTCCATCCCTCCATCCCTCTCCCTTGAGCACCAGCTTGGATATACGAAACACAAATACTACAGCAGCCAGAGAATCCTGTACCTGGTGCAGTTGCCATGAACAGCCCACTAAGGTGTTGAGGGATGGTGCAAGAAAGCTTCAGGGTGGGCTAAAAAGACTGTAACCCCTAAGCCTGACTCTGTCACACTGGCTGTGTTGTGAAGGGCTGTCAGGTACACTGCAAACATGAGATTGTGATGTTCTATTTGTGCTTCTGCTGCCAAGTTTCTTGCCTGTCCTTGGGTGAACGTGCATATATGATCTACTAACCTGAGGGCATAACCTGTTATTGCTGAAATAACCAGGCTTTTGGCCTTTGAAAATGGGTGAAGACTGCAGAGCAGGACAGAGAATCTCTAGAGGAAGGTAAAAACCTGTACCTAAACACCCTTGGTAGCTTTGTTATTTTGCCAAGGGTCTCTTTATAGCCCAGGATCACTCATGTGCAGTGAAAGCTGCTGTCATTGTGCTGTCTGAGTGGTGGTCAAATGGGGGCATAACCAGCCATTGGCTTTTACTTTGCAGGGGCATCAACCAGCAGTCCCCCAGCTTCTAAACTGGGCATTGGAAGGGTGCCCAGGATGGGGAGAGCTCCTAGGGAGGGCACAGAGAAACCCAGAGGTCTTGGAAAAGCAGCTGACAGGAATGCTGGAGAACTTGGGTCATGACTCCCCTGACAGGGAGAGACCAGATGGTACCAGAGCAGACTGGGGAGCTGCTGCTCCCTGCACAGAGGCTCAGTGAAGGGCTGCTGGGGGAGAGGTGCTGTGTCCTGGGGGGCTGCCCTGCCTGGCACCCAGTGCCTCAGAGAAGGCAGGGAGCAGAAGTGCTGCTGGTGGTGCCTCCTTCAGCTCCAGTGCCAGGAAGGGGATGCTCTTTCCCTGTTGCTCAGCTCCCTGTGCCCTGACATCCCTGTTTGTTTCTCTTGCAGGGAGCAGCCAATCTTCAGCACCAGGGCCCACGTCTTCCAGATTGATCCTGCCACCAAACGGAACTGGATCCCCGCCAGCAAACACGCTCTCACCGTCTCCTACTTCTACGATGCCACCCGCAACGTGTACCGGATCATCAGCGTGGGGGGCACCAAGGTGGGGGCAGCACCACACAGCATCACAGCAGGCTCTTCTCCAGCCTGTTCTGGTCATGTCGTGGTGTCAAGTTGGTCAGTTCTCAGCCCCCTTGAGGGGCATTCCATTGCAGGGAATGGAAGGTGAAACACTGCTGCCATGCTCAAGTGTGTTTAATGGAATCTGTGCTGATGGGTCTGGTGTTGTCTCTCCCAGCTCCGGTCTCTTCTCACCCCTGGCACATGCAAAGCACAAGCTTTTCCAGAGGCCCTTTATCCTCTGCTAAACCCAACCCCTTTAAAAGCAGTGAAATGGCAGACTGAGGCTGAGGGCACCTCAGGAGGCGTCTGTGCAGTCACTTCCACAGAACACGAGTAACTCTCCATAAACTGGTCTTGATAGGTATTTTCCTGACTTCCTCCTGCAGACCTGCAGTGGCAGTCTCAGCAATCTGCCCAGACAACTTCCTTTGGTGCTGCCCTGACCAGCAGTGTTCCATCACAGCCACTCCTGACTGTTGTGGAAGCCTTTTCTTCTCCTTGCCATGCAAATGGAGAGCATCAGCGAGTTGTTGAGTCCCCAGGGACACCCTGTCTCTTCCCTTCTTTTCCATCATTGGAGGAGGGTGATGACACTGAGACTTGATTTTCCTTTCTGTAGATGAGGCGGCTGAGGTTTGTCCATGTCACGTAGCCAGACTAGAAAGACTTCTGGTCACCAAAAGCCCAAACTATTGTTTTATAGATTAAAAGCCAGAGCTTTCTCTCCCTGGTTCCTAGAGCACACAGGGACGATGGTGATCAGTCCCACCCCACCACCTCAGCCCAGCAGGCTGGAGTTTGCTCTGACTCTCCCTGTTGCTTCCCTCTCCAGGCAATCATCAACAGCACCGTCACCCCCAACATGACCTTCACGAAGACATCCCAGAAATTTGGGCAGTGGGCAGACAGCCGAGCCAACACCGTGTACGGGTTGGGCTTTGCTTCCGAGCAGCATCTCTCCCAGGTAATGCTGCAGGTGCCAGCAGGGGAATGTCCCTGAAAGCCTGAAGGGGAGATAAGCCTCTGGAGAGCAGACTTTAGGAACCTGATGCAATGCTGTTCCTAGCATCTTTGCACCTCCCATCAGCTTTTAGCACAGTGGGAAGAGCTTTAAAGTAAAATTTGCAGAGTGCTTTTGAACATCACGAATCAAATTAGGACTTGAGGCTCAATTTCTGTCACTGCTGTTTAGATAAGCCCACTGAGTGCCAGAACCATGGCCAGGAAGGGGCTAGTCACTGAATTGTATTGTTAGTTGAAGAGAAGTGTAAAAGCATGTTGGATGGAGCTGCAAAGGGAGGAGGACCCAGGCCTCAGTTCTGGTGGGTTCCACATGTTGGCGGAGCACTGGAGTGACTCTTCTGCTCCCCTCCAGTTTGCAGAGAAGTTCCAGGAAGTGAAGGAAGCAGCTCGATTGGCGAGGGAGAAATCCCAGGATAAAACAGAGCTGACCAACCCTGCCCTGAGCATCACATCTCACCAGGTAATGCTGAGTGATGGCAGCCAGGGGAAGCGGCCACTGGGCTCCTGTCCTCCAGTAACTTCTGCCTTCCACCCCTTTCTGAGAGCTTCCTTGCCATACACTGAGGGTGGAGCTTCACACTGTGAGGGCCCTGAGGTCACTGCTGGAGCTCATCAAGCACATTAACAAATGAGTGTTTAAATGGAGCTCCTGGGAAGGTTCACCCCCCTCCTTCTTTGGTAGTTAAACAGTGGAAACCATTTGATGCCTATTGAGGCCATGCTGGGGTGGGGGGGTTCCTGCTGTGCTGGCTGGGAGTTCTTACTTCGGTGGGTGTTGGTGTGGTTCTTTCTCTTTTGTTCTTTGATTTGGAGCTGCTGGCTCTCCCAGGGCTCAGGGCAAGTGGCATGCAGGAGTGCCTGTTGCCTGCTTCAAGATCACAGAAAGGAGGACACGTGGCACTTCCATCCATTCTTCTGCAGCTGCAGGGGGTTCTCCTCCAAGTCTCTGACAGGAGATGGGGCTGTCCATGGGGCTCCATGGAAAGACAAAGTGATTCCTTAGAGCTGGTGACTGAGGAGTGCTGGCCAGACTTCTCTGTTTCCACTGTGGAGGGGAAGCTGTGCTGTGAGAGCAGGGATCACGCTCCTCTTGGGAGCTCTCCCCTAAGGTAGCACTGCTGTCTGACAGCCACTCATTCCAGTTTCTTTTCCCCAGGAGACCAAGCCAGAAAGCTTAAGCCCATCACAGCTGGTTTTCACATGCATTGCACTTGGCACTTGTTACCTTTCTGCCTGTGTAGCTAAAGCAACAGCAGCAGTGGGATGGAGGGAGAGGATAGGCTGTGGAGAGCTCTGTACTGCTTTTTCCCATGTTAAACCAACTCCCAAATAGTTCCCTCCAGAGGTGAGTCTGCATTTCCCAGCACTCCTGGCAGTAGGATTGGAGCTGTAGGTTGGAGGACATTGTGTTCTCTGGGTTGAATACAGATGGAGCAGCAGCAGAGGAGGAGGAGGGAGTGTGAACAGTACCTTGGCCTGCAGGGAAGGGAGGGGGAAGTGGAGGTGGTGGCTCTGCAGAGACTGGAAATGTCATGTGGGGGGCAAAAATGGGGAAAATATGCCCAGCTTTTGGCTCCTGTAACTGAAAGCCCCATCCTAATGGGTGGCAAATGGCAAAGGGAGCAGAGTAAGCCATTTGTGGCACAGAGTTAGGTGAAAGGCTCTGGTTAGAGTCCTAATGATCCTGGCTAGCTGCAGTGTCATCTCCCAGCTCCCCTGGCCAGGAGGTGGAGGCTGGGAGCGGAGATCCTCCCTCTTAAACTGTTGACACCAGCAGAGCTCATCAGGTGCCACCCCAGGACGTGTTCATCACCCCTGTGCTGTGATGGCAACTTGCAGCAGAAGGGTGAGGGTGACCTTCACCTCGCTCTTCCCATTCAGCCTGTCTCATGTCTCAGTGGCCAGCATGCTGAGCCAGTGGCACATGCGGTGTCCCCTGCCATGGGAGCATGGAGATCTTGTCCTGCAGTTCCTGGTTTCTCCAGCCCCTCACCCCTTCTCCAGCTGTCCCACTGACTCCCAGTCTGTGCATTAGTAGAGCTTCAAACCTGAGAATCATCCTTGAATAATTGATTGTGTTTCTGTTTGCAAGTGAGCAGAGAGCAGATCTGTCTCCTGGAATTAAATCAGGGCTTCCTCCTTTTCTGCATCTCCACTAGTTTATTCAGGCTTTAGGTTTTCAGCGCTGGGCAAATCCCAGGATAGAAGCTCTCTTCTGTCCTCTAGTAGCTTCTAGGCCAATCCCCATCCCATTTAGCATCCACAGCACAGAGTGTGTCACTGTGGGTAATGTAAGCAACAAAACAGTGTGCAGCATCTTCAGCTGGACTCACAGGGGTTCAACACACAAGAAGAAGAAAACTCTGCCCCTTCCCTGCCTCAGTTTCCCCACCTTGTATAAAGGTGAGGCAGGGCTGTGTTTTGCAGGTCTCACATCTCAGTCGCTCTCTGGAAGGCTTTATGAAGCTGGTGTTTAATACATCATGGCCATGTCCAGCTCTATTTATAGGTGTCAGCCGACTCCAAAGCAGGTGCCTGTCCCTACCACAGGCATTTGAGGGCTACCTATGAACTGCAGCAGCAGCCTGGGCTCACAGCTCCCTGCTTAGTAGCCCAGAGACTCGTTGCTCAGAGAGTCTTTTTATAGCTCAGTTTGCCCTGTCAGTGCCAAGCTGCTGCCCTGCTGTGAGAGGAGATCATGTAGGAAAGGTCTTCTGGAGGGGCTGGAGGCTATGGTCTGCTTTGGCTTCTGCGTGTTCATCTCTGCTCTGCTGTGGGTTGGTTGTCTCTGATGTATGCAGGAATCTGGAGCCATAGACAAGGAGACACTTTGGTGCAGAGACTGGGAGTTTCTTCTCCCACACCTTTGGAAAATGGGTGCCAGTCACCTGAGCAATAGCAGAGTTTCCTTCCCTTGAGCCTGAGGCACACGTTCCCAATGGCACCTGGGGTGTTCACTCAAGGTCCAGGAGCTGGGCTTGACTGAACCCAGGTCTGGCAGCTCTGTGTTGAGTGTCAGCCTGTCCAGTGCTCTGAGAACCAGCAAGAAAATCCTCTTGAGAATTCAGCAAAGCCCCAGGGCAGGCACTTGAGCAGGGCCACAGGGCTGGGTTCCAGCCGGTGACACCCTGGCATTGCCAAGGGGAAGCTGAGGGCCAGGGAATTCAGTTGCTCAGGTTGGGAGGAGGAAGAGCTGGTGCCTGCAGGCTGTGAGCCCTCCTGCTCAGCCTGTCTGTGCACTGCGATCACTGCCCTGGTGTGGCAGGGACACAGGGAAAGGGAGGACGTGGGAGCAGGGCAGCTGCTGGAGGAGCAGAGCACTGGCCTCCCTATCCAAGAGAGTGCCCATGTTGCTGTGCCATTGCTGTGCCCACTGGTGCTGAGCCATACCTGAGGATCTTTGCCACCCCTTGTCATGTAGACAAGCACAGCACTGCCTGACAGGACTGAAAGCCAGTGCTCCTCACAGGTGTGCAGGGGCTCAGAGCTAACCCTGTGAAACTGGGCTGGGAGTGAGTTTGCAGAGACCTTGTGGGTCTCACTGCTGTGTGGTAACCACTCTTCTTCATCCCCAGGTACTCCCCAGCCCCATCATCAGCTCCAATGGGCCAGGAGAAGATAAACTATTCCGAAGCCAAAGTGCTGATGTGGAGGTAACAACGGAGAAGGAGCGGCTGAAGAAGATGCTCTCTGAAGGGTGAGGCTGCCACAAGTGCTCTCTGCTCCTCGCTCCTGCACTGTCTGCTCTGGCAGGATTTGGTGCATGTCCCTGTCATCCCAAATGCTTTTGAACCGATGCTGCTACTTCAGGTAGTTGGATAATGCCCTGTGTCCGCTGCTGCTCTAACCCTCCACTGAACCAGTTTCTCCTCCAGTAGGAAGTTATTCCAGGTGGAGGTGAAATCCGCTGTTCAGGCAGCGTGGGAAGGATGCTTTGTGCCCGCAGCAGGGCTGAGTCGATGCCAGTTAGATCAGATCAGTAGTTTGTGATAACCAGAAGATGCTCATGCTTTTCCAGCTGGCCCAGGGCTACATTTGTGTTAATTCCCCTGATGAGACCAGCAAAGTCTCTGCTGCTTCCGCTCTTTGTCTGTTCCAAGACTCTGGCTGGATTCTGCCCTGTGGCTCCCCTTTAGCTCCCAGCTGAACACTCAGTATTTTTAAACCAAAAGCAAGTGTTCTTTGCTACCTTCTCCTGAGCCTGGGCTGGGAGGGCTTTAGTCAGAGCAAACTCAGATGCGACAAGGATTTAAATCCCAGATTCCCAGTCCCACATTATGAAGCTCCTTTATAGTAGCTGTACCGCCCTTCCCCTCTTAACCTCACAGTGTGGATTCTGCAGTTCCCAGCAGGCACACAGCACCTCAAATACCAATATTATCCAGGGGTAAAGAGAGGCAGATTCAGGGCTGGAAGAAGCATTTACATGTGGGAAGTGGCATGAAAACTGAACAGAAAACTCTGTAGGAGCCGGGAGCTGTCCTGCACTTCCAGGGGCTTTGTTTCAGTGCACGTGAGCATGGGGGGAAGCACCCTTCATGCTGAGACTCTCCTATGCACTCCTGACCACTTGCCCTGCTCTCTTACACAGTTCTGTGAGTGAGGTCCAGTGGGAGGCCGAGTTCTTCAGCCTCCAGGACAACAACAACAAGCTCGTGGCTGCTCTCCACGAAGCCAACGCCAACGTGGACCAGTGGAAGAAGCAGTTGGCTGCTTACCAGGAGGAGACGGAAACGCTGCGGCAGCGGGTGAGCACCGGAGGGGCTTCACAGAGCAGGCCAGAGGAAGCCCCTTCCCAGAGCCAGATGGTGCCCTTGACCCCATTCTCTCTTCAGTTTCCACGGGTGTCAGCAGGAGATGGGATGGAAATCCAGGATGCTGCATGAGCCTGGCAGGGAAAACATGTCAAGGAATAAGGCCACGTAACTAGGGAGCTCTCCCAAGAGCTCCTGTTCTCTGCAGAGCAAGTTGGGATTGTGCTGTGTCCCCATGATTAGAAGGAGGAAACCAGGGCACAAAGTCACAGCAGACCAGCTTTCCTTCCCATTTCCAGGGGGTGGTTTCCAGCTGCCAGCAATACTGAGTGAGGTCCATGCCCCCCTTAGCTGGGCATCAGCACAGTCTTCTGGCTTTCAACAGGAAGGATGAAGGTTCCTCTGTCTGCTATAATTAGCTCAAATCCAAGCTGCAACATCATGAAACTCGGGTGGTGCAGTACAAACAAGCCCTTGTTCACTTGGAATAATAGGATCTTTTGACCTACATAATGTCACAGAGGTCCCAGATCAACTGAGGAGGCCTGTGTGCATCTGGGCAGAGCAGTGACAGTCACACGGCTGGGTTTGTTGGGAAGAACTGGGGAGAGCTTGGGAAAGGGGTTTAGAGCAGTTGGGTTTGGGGAGCTGTTCCCACTCGATGGCTGTTGTGTGGCTCCCCCGCTGTGGGGGTTCACTGTGCCCACCGGTGGTTCTCAGTGTTGGAGTCACGCAGTGGAAGAGCTGCACACAGCAAACGCTGTGCTCTGCAGCAGGGCCCTGCCTGAGGTGCAGCAGAGCCCTTGGTTGTGTGTGTGTGTTTTAAACATGAATCCTCTTCATGAATCATCCCAGCCGCTGGGCTGAGTTTTCAGGAAGGGGGCAAATCCTTCCCCCCAGCTCTGCCGGGGTTGAGCTGCAGCAGCTCCCTTGCCTTGGCAAGCTCTGCCCAGGGATGCAAATGGTGTAGCCATCACTTTGGGCTATAGGCTCATATGCTTGATGCTGAACGTTGCTGGAAGTGCAAAGCTGCAGGAGAAAGCAGGGTCTCTGGACTGGGCTTTGCCACAGGGGGTTTGTCTGTGAGATCTGGGCAGAGCAGAAGAGAGGGGATGAGAGCAGGATGGGAGCTGCTGCCCTGTTGTAACCTGGTTGGGTCTGCAAGGGAGCCAGACCGTGACAGAGGGTGAGGAGGTGTCAGGACGTTCCTGTATCTCTGAGCATGCTTCTCCTGTGCCTGCTTCCATGTAGGTAGCAGAACTGGAGTCACAGGGCACTCAGGATTCCTCCAGTGAGAACAACAAGGAAGAGCTGAGCCAAACCCTGGAGGAGCTGGAACTCCTCATCAAGGCTAAAGATGAGGTAATGCCCCACAAAGCAGAGCAAAGCCTGAAGCTGGGAGGCCCATCAGTCACCAGCACCCTGCTTGTCATTACAGCTCGAATGAGAGGGGAGGGAGGGAAGGAACGGGACTTGGCTGGGGTAAGTGCTGGGAGCTGCCCCCATGGGGACTGGGGTGGATCTGACAGCTCTTCCTCGTGTTTTAGGAGATCCAGATGCTAAAGAGCCAGAAGTGTGGCCGATGGGAAACAGAGGGCGAGCGTGAGGAGACACTGCAGAAGCTGCAGGTAGGGATGGCAGATCTGGGACACCTCTGCACTTGCAGCAGTGTAATCCGTCCCCATTTCTCTGCTGAGCCAAAGAGTGAATGCTGTAGAGCTGCTGTGCCTAGGGTCTGCCTCTGGATGCTGGGACTGGGTCCTTGCCAGGGTCTCTGCCTTCTTCCACCCTCTCTGTGTCCCTCAGAGGTGTGACACGGGGCACAGTGAGCACGCAGTAGCAAGCCCAGCCTTCACCTAGTCTCCTTTTAGCTCTTGCAGTAGTCCCTGGCATGGGACTGAGCAGAATCTGTGATGTCCTGTGACCCTCCATCTCCCTGAAGTCCTGCTTAGCTTGCTGGATGGCCAGGGATGGCTGGGGAGCAGAGCTCTGGCTCAGCCTGGCTGGCAGGAGGGATGCAAGCTGCTCTGCACCTCAGGGCAAGCACACAGATGGAAGCTCAATCTGTTGTGTGGTCTCTGGGGGCACTGCCTGCCTGTGTTCACCTCTGAGCTGCTGACCAAGGGGATCAGCTGCAGGGCCCAGCCCCTCACACAGGCACTGGTTTTCATGGCACAGCAGTGTCTGCACACATCAGATGCCGTCAGCCCTGGAGATGACAGGCACGTGAGATGTGTGATGTGAGATCTGCTTTGCGAGCTGCGGGCACGTGCCTGGGTTTGGGGACCGCGTGCTCGCATGCATGTGCCTGCCAAGTGCTGTGGGCCAGGCCAGGAGATCCCTTGGTGGGACCCCAGGCTTCTGGGTGTGGGAAGCCTGGTGCTGGGGTGGCAACAGGGCTGTTTGGTGCAGATAAAGGAGGGGGGGGATGAGCAGTGTGTATCAGCCCCAGCGCAGCCCCCTCACTGCACTCGTGTCCCTGCAGGAGCTGGAGACCCGCAACGCAGAGCTGGAGCAGCGCCTTCACCTGGCTGAGCAGAGCCTGGCCGAGACCCTGGCCGAGAGGGAGAAGATCCAGAACGAGGTCACCAAGGTGGCAGAGATCATGGATGTGAAGATCTTTGAGCTCAGTGAGATCCGGCAGGGACTGGCCAAGCTGGTGGAGAGCAATTGAGCAGCAGCTCCCTCAGAGGAGACGAGCCTGAGCTGGGACAGTCACAGAACATCGAGGTCTCTTGGGGCAGGACAAGCCTGGACACTGTGGAGACCAACCCCAGGCACTGACTGCCCCCGGAACCCCCGGACAGAGGGCAGGGAGCACCTGAGCTCCTGCATCCTCCTCAGGGAGCATCGACAAGTCCCAGCCAGACCTCTCTGGCCCCTGCCATGGCTGTGGCACGGTCCAGAGGGAGCGGCTGTCCCTGAGCTGCCCTCCCAACCCTGCTGCTGCCCTGGGTCTGCCCCACTGGGATGGTGCCAGGGGAAGGAAGGGGCTGAGCAGCCGGGGCAGGTTTTCAGTAGTTTGGGTTTTAGGAAACCCTTTGCCTTTTGCAAACACGCTGCCTGTTTCCCAGCCGGGCAGGGAGCAGCGCTTCCAGCACAGCAAGAGCAAGAGCTGCTCCTTCTCCTCTTCCCCAGCCCTAACTCCACCGTGTCTCTTCAACAGGATCCAGTAACACTTCCAGAGGTAGCGATGGGTCCTTGCCCGACCCTGTGTCCTTTTCCACTGTTCAGTCACACCCTCCAGAGGAGAAAGAGCTGCAGGGTTTAAAGCTCTTCCTAGCTCCCCACAGTGGGATGTAATGACTTGTTAAAACCTTCAGCTGAGAAGAGCAGAGGCTTGGTTGGGAAAGGGGCACCTGAGAAATGGGGCAGGGCTGAGGGGATGGCCAACAAACTGCTCCGTTGGCATCGATCCCGGCCTCTGAGGGCTGCACTCAATTGGAATTAAATGGAGCAAGTCACAGCGGCTCTGGGCTCCTTTCTTTTTCCTTCTTTTTCATTGGGGAACAGTCCCCAGGGTCAGCCCCAGTGCTCCCTGTCAAGGGTCTGGGTCCCTGCCCCACATCAGCCCCAGTGCTCCCTGTGAAGGGTCTGGGTCCCTGCCCCACATCAGCTCCAGTGCTCCCTGTGAAGGATCGGGGTCCCTGCCCCACATCAGCCCCAGTGCTCCCTGTGAAGGGTCGGGGTCCCTGCCCCACGTCAGCCCCAGTGCTCCCTGTGAAGGGTCTGGGTCCCTGCCCCACATCAGCCCCAGTGCTCCCTGTGAAGGGTCTGGGTCCCTGCCCCACATCAGCCCCAGTGCTCCCTGTGAAGGGTCTGGGTCCCTGCCCCATGCCAGCCCCAGTGCTCCCTGTGAAGGGTCGGGGTCCCTGCCCTGTCTCAGCCCCAGTGCTCCCTGTGAAGGGTCTGGGTCCCTGCCCCATGTCAGCCCCAGTGCTCCCTGTGAAGGGTCCAGGTGCCAGCTTGCCACCCTTGGCCACATGGAAGGAGACCAGGAGGTGTTTGGAGCGTGCTGGGACCAGTGCCCTGAGGGGCCTTTGGGGAGGTTGTGAGTTACCAGGGATGTTATCTGGTCATAGGAACTGAGCCCCCCAGTTCCCCAGGAGCTGAATGATGCAGCAGTGTCTGTGTAGGAGCAGGCAGTAGGTTCTGGGGTTGGGGTTTTTGCCCTTGTTGTTGCTCTAAGTTGGGCAAAGGCAGAGTCATCCTGGCCATGCCTGCGGGAGCTCTGGGACTCCCAGCACCCCTGAACCTCAGCAGAGCTCAGGGCCTGCGGCTCCTTGCCCTCACCTGGTGACCAGGAGAGGATCCCACTGCTCCCAGCACCGCCTGCAAGCCAGGGCAGGGTTTGGGTCTGGCACCTTGGGAACCGGCGGCTGTGGTGCACTGGATTGAATCCAGGCAAAGCCCTTCCCTTTCCCAGCGAGGTTTCCAGGCCTGCACTTCAGGGAGAGGCTTTCCTGGTCTGGGACTGGGCTTTTTTCATTGGTTTCCCCTTAATTTGAATGATTTTGTTTGCATGAAGTGTTGGCAACTGTATGGGCTGGAGCTCCTGGGGGGTGCTTGTTTCAGGGTAGGTAAGAAGGGAAGGAAGTAACTGGGTGGCAGAAGACTCCAGGGACTTGTTTAGCTCCCCATGCCAGTGTTCCCATTCTGTTCCTACAGGAGCAGCCCCCTTTTGAAATAGAGATCAGCTCCAAGAGAGGTGTGTTTGCTTTCCTTGGTCCTGGGCTATGGAAGGAGGAGAGGGTGGGATTTGGGAGCATGGGAGGAAGGAAGCTGAGCCGATGTTCCTCGTGTTCTCTGCTTCCTGCCCTCACGCTCCTCTCCTGTGGCTGTGCCCCACAGGCTGGAGCTGGGTAAGGATCCCCAGTGCTGGCTGTGTCCGCCCCATAGCAGCCTGGCCGGTGGCTGCGGTGATGGCTCAGCGCTGGGCTCACCACGCCTGGCTGAGTCAGCTCTCCCGAGGCCATCCCGGACCGTTCCCAAGCAGTGGGAGGCAGAGCCGGAGTCAAGCCGCTGCACATCCCGGCAGGACTCCTGGGGATGGGAGGGGAAGCAGACCCAAGCTGCTCTTAGGCCATTTACACCTCTTCTTGTCCTCAACGCACAGCCTGGCATCGCCGGAGAGCTCCATCTCCAGCAAAGGCAGCGCAGGGGGGGCTGCAGGGCTGCAGCAAGGCACCCAGGGAAGGCATCCGGAGCTGGATGCGCTCCTTGGCTCCCAGTGTTCAACCTCCTCGCCTCAGACTCCCTTTAAAAGATGCTGTGGGAAACCAGAGCAACACCAAGGCCATGGAGAAGCATAAGAAATGCAGGGGTGGGTGCACACGGGGGGCCTGTGGGTCCTGTGGTCCTACCCCCCCCGCACCAGTCTGTCTCATGATGGTAAAACCAGCGTTGAGAGCAGTGCTGAGCTCAGACCAGGGAGAGGGCAACTGAGTGCCAAGGAGACAGGGGTTGGGCAGGGTCCTGCTCTAGAGCATCCTCTTGCTATCCCAAGTGTGACCCCCTGGAAGGGGGGGTTCTCTCTGGGGGGGAGGTATTACACCCAAAGTGCAGGCTGCAGCACTGCAGGCACAAAGCCCAGCACTGAAGGTGCTGAGCTGCCCATTCAGTGCACACCAAGGTGCTGCCAGCCCACTGCCACTGGAGCTGGCCTGGCCCTGCGCTCTCTGTACCCTGAGGCCAGTGCATTGGCATCGGCTCCTCATGGTCCTGGCTGTGCTCCTTTGCTCTTCCATTGTCAGGAGCCAGGAACAGAGGGGATTCTTCACACTGTTCCCCACAGGGCCTAGGTGCAAGTCTTTCCCTTGCCAGAATAAGCTGAAAAGTGGCTTTTTGATGAGGTCTGTCCTGTGCAAAGCCTCTTCCTGAGGCACGGCCGGGCAGGGTGATGGATGGCTCGGGGAGGCACTTCCCATTGCAGTCTTCCCCTCATCTACACTAATGAAGACCAATTCATCACCAGCTGTATCCACAACTGCCCTAAACCTGCAGTTAGCAGTGAGGCCGTGCAGCAGCAAAGCACTAATTCCATCTGCCCCACTCCAGTGAGCCTTTCACAAGGGCTTCGGTCGTGTTCCAGCACACAGCACTCCAACCCATCCCCACTGTGCGCTTTCCAGCCCCCTCCTTCCCTGTCTGTGCTTCTCTTGCTTCAAAAGGAGAACACCCTGCATCGCAGCAGCCAGCACTGAGCAGCAAGGCTGCAGTTTGCTTCGGTCTCACAGTAACAGTGATTGTCAGCAACCAAACAGCAGCAGCTTCCTTGCTGGAGGAGAGCAGGGGCCTTGAGAGACCTGATTCTTGTGGCAAATTAGGGGCTTAATTATTCATAGGAGCCCAGACAGAACATTAATAAAGAGAACACGGGGAAATGGCTCCCATGTGAGAGCAGGATGAACAGCGCAAGAAATCCTTCCCCTTCCCCTCTCTGTGCCACGTTCCGAGGAGCAGCAGCAACGTGAGATGCTCTGCTCCGGCCCCAGACCCAAGACCAGGTCCTTGTGACCAGCTCAGCAAGAGGAAATGAAGCTCTGCTATTGCAGGACGTGCCAATAACAGAGCCTCAGAGAAAGGATGTCCCGATGCGAACACCATCTGATAGATGCTAACAGAGCCCGGATGGGGATGCAGATCCCCACCGCCGCCTCTGCCATAGCTCACTGCAGCCTCCTCCTCCTCCTCCATAAAGGCCATAATTACCCTCCCTGGAGGACTCTCACACTCCAATTACTCCCATCTACAGGAGCCTGGAGAGAGCCAAGCCAGGAAGAGGTTAGCACAGGCCGGGCTGGTTAATGCCCTAAGTGCTGAGCGGCTTTTAACCAAGAGCTAAAACCCCTTCTCTCCCCCAGCAGCCACTGCAGAGCCCCTGGTACCGTGTGCTGGGTGCTTCACGTCGGTTACTTAACAGGATGCCTCTGCTGTGGGTGCCTTTGTGAGGACAGCCTCTTGCTAAGAGGGAAAGCAACCGAGTGCTTGGTTCGCAGCCTCCGAAGGATGGAGCTGGGGGGGTAGTAATTAAAGAGCACCATTAGTGAGAAGGAGGGGAGCTAAACCCCTTGTGAGCGCCCATGCCCGGCTGCAGCATCACTGGAGCAGGGGAGGGGTTGTTTTTAGTGCAGAAATGGGCTGGTTCCCCCCGGCAGCCCAGGCTGGGAGCGGGACACGGCCGTGCACACACTGAGCACCAGGGAAGGCATCAGCGCCGTGCGCTGGGGAATGAGCACAGCGAGAAGTGCGCGGTCCCAGCGGGGTTCGCAGCTCCCTGTCCCGGGGCGGCTCCTGGGGATCGGAGCTCGTCTGTGAAGGCAGCTCCTGCTCCGGGGGAAAGAACAGGGGCTGCGGCACCCATCACCTCTGCGCCGGGCCTGCCCCCTCCGGCAGCGCCCTCCGCCCGCCCTGCCAAGCAAGCAGCAGCCGGGGTAACCCTGGAAATGAGCCCCCTGTGTTGAGAGGAAGGTACAAGAGAGGAGGCAGCTCCAGCAACCGTGATCCAAAGGGGCGACCCCTGCATGCTCATCAGCTCACACCGTTTGCTTCCCCCGCTCCCTGGGCTCTGTGGGGCATCAGCCTGGGAAGGGGGAATCCCAGGGGCCAAATTCCGTTTCCTTGGATGCTGCTCTCAGCTGCAGCGGTGGAAAGGTGCCAGGTGGAACGGGCCGGAGGCTGCCACCACCTCCGTCCCCATGGCATCCCCTCCGTCCCC